GCGGGCCGCGGAGCCCGGCGCGGGCAGCGCGGCCGCCTGCCGCACGAGCGGGCCCGGGCTCGGCCCCGCGGCCGCGCCGCAGGAGCACAGCTCGGCCCGCTGTTAAGGCAGACGCGCTAGGCTCTCGTTTCTCCCGAGGGACGTGGTCGCGGCTTGCTGCTCCTGCAGGCTGCCGCCTCTGCGCGTCTCGGCCGGCTTTGTGCTCAGCCCCGTCTTGCGTGGTGAAGATCTCTGCCTGCCGCCTCGCAGCCGGTGCTGCAGGACCTGCGGGGAGAGGGACCGGTGCAAAAGGATTTGCTTGCTTTTTAATTTGTTCTCTTTTCTCTTGCATTTCTATTATTATGTATAAAGGCGGGGGGGGGGGTAGCACTGGAGGGAGGTGCCAAGTAGTAGACTCTATTAATTAAGAAGCATCACTGTTTCTGTGAAACAAATTCTGTAAAGAGGGAGATCTATTTCTGTGAAATGAAAGATGACGCCAGTGTTTTTGAAAGCGGTATTGTCAAGCTTATTTATCTGGTAGAAAGAGGATTTGTTCTAGACCTGTCCTGGCAAACAATCACCACAGMCCAGAAGAAAAGAGTAGACCTATTGCAAACTGCGCTGAATCAACAAGTGGGCCTGCWGACCTGCTCTGCTGAGAAGCCCTTCGGCTTGAAGAGGCCGGAGCTCTTCAGACTTCTCTCAGCTGATGGGTGAAACTCTCAACCAGCAGCTTTTAAACTGAGTTGCGGTTTTGAGACTGTAGCCCTTGATGGACCTTTGTATGGAAAGTGATACTTCAGGGCGTATACTGTATGGTAGGAATGATAGTCTGGGAGGGCAAGGCTGGGGGATAATAACCATGAGACTGGTTATCTCCTCTGGGGTCCTGGAGCAGCTTACCACCTCGATAATATTTCTATACCTTTCTAGAGCCTGTGAGGCTAAAATGCACCAGGGGAGTAGCAGGTATATCAGAAAGGATGGCTATTTTGGCTAGACACCGTGTTTCCCCCCTGTTTGACCTGTCTTGTGTTTCTGTTTCAGCTGTCATCCTCTAACTKCTTTTCTCCCAGCTCTCGGGCTCTCGCTGCTGGAGCGCCTGCCGAGGGGAGCCCCGTCCCGCCGACGGACCTGYGGAGGCTCCCTGCTCTCCAAGCCYTTCCCCGCTTCCCTGCGCCCGGCTGGAGGCCGGGGCTGAGCTAGAGCCAACATYGGGGTGCCCCAGTGSCCTAGCTTCCCTCTGAGGATATGTGCTGTGCTTGTCCTGCTTTGTGCTCCTGCCTGCAGTAGGAATAAGGCTGCCCTGGGTAAGTGCTCTGCGTTGCCGCGTACAAACGGGTCTCGAGCCAGGGGACGCGCCTGAGTCATGCTGTGCAGCCGAGCAATGGTTTCTGATAGGCACCGAGCGAGTCTCCTGGCTGTCTTACAGCATGACGCTGGTAGCACTCRGTTGGAATTGCTGGTCTTTACAGTGTTACTCTGTTAAAAAATCTCAGCGCTGTGTTCTGTATTTCCACACTGTCCCTTTTTTATTTTTTTTTRAAGCCTTTTCCTAACTTCCCTCTTTGCAGAACTGTTTGGTTCTGCTTGTTTGATTGATTTAGAGAGATCATGTACTTTTTAATGGAGCTTCCTAGAATTGGAATTTGAATGGTAGCTTCCCGTATAGCAGGGAGTTCTTCAAACCTTCTTCAAAGAAAAAGCTGAACAAAAAATAGGTGAAGATAATGAACAGTGAGACATGCTTTTCCAGTGGCCATTTTTTCAGTCTATTGGTGGGTAAACTGCATGTATTTATGGTGTAATAAAATTATTTGAAATCTAGCATTTAGTGAACTAATAATTTCAGTACAAAACATCCTCAGATCTCTATGCATATAAGTTGTGAATCTTGCATGGAAGGATGTTATGGGAGTTAAATCCCTCATTATTTAATTTCTAGTCCTTTTCCTGCTTTTTAATTTTTTAATTTATTTGGATGGCGTGGGTTTAAGTTCTGATCGGCTGAAACAAGTCAGAAATGTCATATGTTCAGAACACTTTATTATCATGAGACAGTAATGTTTCTTTTGTTGTAATCTTTTTGTAAGTTATGTCCATAGTCCTATTCAAAGCATGKTTTTTACGGCTTTTCCATAAGGAATGCTTAAAAAAAAAACCCACAGAAAACAAACAAAAAAAATTAAATATCTTTCTCCTTCTCATTTGTGCATTATAGTAAAGGAACAGTTTCAGATTTCTGAAAATATATTAGAAATAAAGATTAAGTAAATGGGAGCTGTGTTAAAAGCATCCTCTTTGTATAAGATGTGAAGTGAGTTATTATCCAGGTACCCAACCATTTAAGTCTTCATTAAGTCTTCTTTAAGTCTTCAAAAGATTTCATCTTCCTTTTTTTTTTTCCCGATAAAAAAAATGACAGCTGAAAATGTCTCAAAATCCTGACAAGCCACATACAAGTGGAGAAAAGCCAAGTGCTCAGGAGGACGACCAGGAGGCGAGCGTGGACAGTGTGGATCAGTCCGTCAGGAAGCGAATACGACAGAGTGCTCCTGCTTCACACAGAGATGAAACTCCCAAGTGTAAGCAAAACTGCTTCTAAAACTAAGTAGCAATCTCTGTTTCTATCCAGTAGACACAATCATGAGGTTTTACAGCATTCTGTGTTTGACTGAGTTACAGTTAAATGCTATATGAATCCTCATTTTTTTGCTATGCTTTGGAGCTGTTTGCAATGCAAAGACATTACAGACCCTTTCCTGTTACATTTTTTTTCCAGTTTTATTTCARCACTTCATTGTCCACAGTAACTGTGTTGTCTCGAGCCACCTGTATCCTAGCTGCTTTGCGAGAGTGTTTACAGGATCGAGCCCTTCTCTAGCTTGTTGTAGCTGGGTGGCTGCTATCATTCCCTTTATCAGCTGAACTTTCTGGACTGTTGCAGCCTCTGTTTTTAGTGCAGAGCAGGAGAGTCTATTATCCACCAAATATGTCCTGTCCCTTTTCTTCCCTCTCATGTTCCTCCCTCCCCAATACAGATCAAAAGTTTAATGGTGCCTCTTTTCTGGCTGTTCTGCTCAGTGGATTTATTCTAAAACCAAAATTCAATAAACTTTGGTCTGTGTGGGAATATTTTCCATTCTAATACCAGTTTTAGTGTAAGACTGTTCATAGGACTCTCCTGCTGTGAATTTATTCCTACAGCACATTTGTCATCCTGTTTTTAACATGAGGAGCCGAATGGGAGAGGACTGTTGGTTATTTCAGGCAATTCGCAATTCTTTAGATAAAAGAAATAAGCTTTTTTTTTTCTCCTCCTCCTCCTGGTCCTGAGAATTGAGTCCAAAGAAATGGAATTATTCAGATAACTAGGTACACATTTTTGCAGAGATTCCCGACATGTGACGTGCTTTGTTCCATTCTTCTTATTTTTTTTATTGGCATCCCTTATTAATGTAGGTGTATTTAGTGTTGTATATAGTGTCATGCTATGCAGAAATGTGCCGTATGGAATTTATGGTGTCATGCTGCTGGCGAATGTGTGGTGTGCATACGGACAGAGGTTATGGCCTTGTGAAGTAAAACGCAGAGTGAAACGTCTTCTATTGCATTGTGCCATGGAGCAGCTGTTGGTCTCAAGTCCTCCCTTCTTGGAAGGGGCAGGAATAATATGCGAATGAAGTAACATGATTTAAGAGCTATCTTTGCTTTATGAAAGAGTCTCTTAGCTTTTACTGCCTCTGCAGCTAGAGTGAGGTCATTTGGCAGCTGGACAAGAGTTTTTTTCATTCAGCTTCATTGGGCTGCATGTTCTGTTCTGCTCAGAGCATCAGTCCTTGCTGTGCTCCCATAGCCAGACTAAGCCAGACCAAGCTTTCAGCTGAAGGAAATATAGAGAGCACTGCGTGGGATGAATGAGGTTCTCCTGAAAAACGCTCTCATTGTATGTGTTATGTACATGGCACACCTTTAAATGGCAAGCGATGGATGGGCATGTGTTTTTGAAGGGCCTTTTCTGCGTAACCCGCCTCAGTGCCGGTCACGATGGGTGGGCCCAAACACGGCTCGGAGAGCCCAGCACGGGAAGGTTCCTGGTTGTCCGTTTCACTTGGGGAAGCGCTGGCGGCCGCGGGGCTCAGCTGGCTGCAGCAGAGACGGGCTCGCTGCCCTCGGCAGGACGGGCTGCGCCTCCGGCATCTGCCCTGTCCTCCTGTCCTCCTGCTTTTGGTGCCGCTTTGTGCGCCCAGCTGTGGCAGCAGCATCCCGGGTGGAAGATGTTACATCACCTGGAACAATTAGGATCACTAATTCCCAGGRCAGGCAGGAAGCAAATTGGATTTTCGGAAACTGTTGCAAGCAGTGCTTTCYGACCTCTGATTTCTACAGTCAGCCCCTGGCTTTGTTGTATCTGTGTTACAGCTAGTCCTCCTCGGCTGGTGTCCATAGAGGAGCTAATGGAAACAGCGAAGGGAGTAACCAACATGGCATTAGCACATGAGATTGTGGTGAACGGGGACTTCCACATAAAGCCAGCCGAATTACCGGAACACAGGTAAGGCTGCTACTAAGTGCTTAAATAACAACAACTGTGGAACTGCAGAACTGCTGTAAAGGGTCAGATAAAGACCAATTGAGTCGGACCTTTAAGTTACCAATTGAATGGGGCGTTGAAATTGCAGAAACCTCTGTATCAGGGGAGTTATTTAATTCCTCCTAGGTTTATTTAATGAATTTTAGTCAGTAGAGTTGTATTACTTAGTGAAGTTCTGCAAAGAAACATCAGTACTGTTCTTCTGAAGAGAATCCATAATTTTTATGATTTCTTTATCTTCTATTTGGGCTGCTTGAGAAGTGGCATTTAACAGATGCTTTCAAGGATTTAATCTGTAGCCTTCTTTGCTTGGATGTAACATTTTGTTGGGTTATGAACCATTCCAGATCCTACATCTAATAATTTTTGAGTAGCTTAAAATGATAACTACTTCCCTGTTAATCTTTACATATTCATTACACACACTGCTCCTGCAGAGCTCTGCAGGTCACTACATAGGGTGGTCTCAGAGACAAGTATTGCCCCTTCTCACTGCTTGTGTTTACCCACAGCTTGGAAAAAAAAGTAAGAGATATTGTGCACAAAGCTTTCTGGGATTGCCTGGAAGCCCAGCTACAGGAAGAGCCACCAACATATGACCATGCAATTAAGCTGCTGGGAGAAATTAAAGAGGTAGGATGCTGTCATACCGAGGAAAATTACTGAATTTGATCAGCTGTGTGCAGATGGCCAGGCAGAATGAAGCGTTTGAAATGTGGCAGTTCATGAAGGACTCAATCTCTTAATAACATGGTATTTTCTGTGAACATATGTAAATTGTATAGTTGTGTGTGTAACCTTCTGTGAATCCAGAGCTGGTAAATGACTCCTTGGCTTTGTTAATAAAACGGAGTTACCACTTGTAAATAGCCATTAGCGTGAATGAAAAATGGTTTGATAACTGCCTTGGTCCTACAGTGTTTGATATGTAGGACTAAAGCACTGTTAAATCTTTCCATTTCAGACCCTCTTGTCTTTCTTGCTGCCTGGTCATACTAGGCTAAGAAACCAGATTACGGAAGTTCTTGATCTGGATTTGATAAAACAGGAGGCGGAAAATGGGGCCCTGGACATTTCCAAGTTGGTGGAATTTGTTATTGGGATGATGGGGACCCTCTGTGCTCCAGCTCGAGATGAAGAAATTAAGAGGCTGAAAGATATTCATGAAATAGTTCCTCTGTTCAGGTACCGGGATGATACCTACTGGTTGTTTTGGAGGCCTTTGAATAGCTGTGGCTGTCCGTGTGCTCGTGGGATGGGGTGACTCGCTAGACCCGGCGAGAGGGACGGGGATGCGGCCGGGAGCGGGAGAGGTGCCGGGAGACCTGGACCCTCCTCATGAGCGGGAGCCTCTGCCCGGCTCCGGCTGGTCTCCGAGGGGCGTCCTCTGAAACGGTGCAGGCAAAAGGTCTGCCAGTTCCTGCTTTTTCTTTCAATACCTTCTGCTRTCGATTTTAAATCTGGACACAACAAGGAGCATGGGGAGAAGGTACTGTTGTTCCTCAGCCAACTCTTTCTCTCCCTAAAAAGAGGGGGAAATTTACTGGATCTGGGAGCATAGGGGAGGCTTCTGCTTTGTCACTATTTTCTGAATAAACACTTCAAGCTTTCAGTAGCTAGAGGAAATCCTGTTATCCTTGTTTTATCCTTCTATGCCAAAATGTTTTCTAATTTGATAAGCTTCCGAGAGCAAGGGTTGACCTGACAGAAACATTGCAGGCAGGAATTCGGTTGCTTTGAAATTACTGTTTTTCCCCCTGGGGACTCCTCCTTTGATTTCCATGGAGGCCGCCTGTTTGGGCTGCCAAGAGGCAGCTGGCTGGCTTTGAAACCCAGCTCATGTTCAGCACATGGTGCTGCACGTGCCGGGATCCGGGATCGGGGCGGTTAGCGGTGGCGGAGGCTTCCCGCGGGAGAGCCAGGGTGAGGAGGAAGGTGCCCACGTGCATGTGCCCGCTGCCTCCCCCTTTAGCTCCTCGTCACGCCGGAGGTGTTGAGCACCTCTGGGGTGTTGCATGCGTGGTTGTGCTCTTTCCTTGGTCCGTCTGTGTTATATCTTTTAAACGGTACCTCTTTAACCTCTCTAGCCCTGAATAACTTTTTCTGTTTGTTTGTTTAGAGCAATTTTCTCTGTGTTAGACCTAATGAAAATGGATATGGCAAACTTCGCTGTCACTAGTATTAGGCCAAAATTAATGCAGCAGTCTGCTGAATATGAAAGAAAGAAGTTTCAGGAGTTTCTTGAGAAACAGCCAAGTATGATTTTGTTTCTTTCTTTCTTCCCCTCTGACATCCCAGTGAACTCTGCATTTCTGTTTGTGTACTACAAAAATGAATTAGATTTTTGTGTTCTGTAATTCAGGTGGTAAATGAAAGCATGTACCCCAAAACTATGGTTTGCAAAAGTAYAGTGATACAGCATTTCAGCACTCAACACAGTGGAGTTTGGTTTCATTTGAATAGAGTGTATCATGCAATAGGCTTTGATTTTCTCTTAGTTGTTCTGATTGAWGCTGTAAATAAAACACATACTGGTAACTGACATCATGGGTATTAGAAATAGCAGCTAAATGGGATTACTTGGAAATTAGTGCTGGAAGAAAATAGCCTTGAAAGCAAGTTTCCTTAACGRGACTTTTCCTTTTCCCCTCTTCCAGATTCCTTAGACCTTGTCACAGAGTGGCTGCAAGAAGCCGCCGATGACCTCGCGAAGCTGCGGTGTAAAAAGCTGCTCTCCCAGTGCGGCGATGACGACGGGGCTGCGGCTGGAGCCTCTCCCCTGAGCCCCGCTGCTGTGCAGAACCAGGCCTATCTGAAGCTCCTGAAGTGGGATCATGCGAACAGGCCTTTTCCAGAAGTAGGTGTTTCRCAGAGAATTGATGGCTGTGTTCTGYCCTTTCATATTTCTGGAACGTAATGGGCACTGTCTGCATTTGTAGCCTTGCCACGAACGCAGCGCTAAAAGCTTCTCTCTTAATTGCGTCCGCTCGTAGCTCCCTTAATAGAGCAAAGTGATCTTCAGCTCCGAGGCCCAGTGTGCCAATAGCCACCCATTTGGGCTTGTTCCTGCTGCTCATCTCCTCTCCCACGTTAGCTGCTCCCCACAGCAGCCAGGGACTCGGTGTGCACGTGGCACCGGGGCTGGAGGCCGCAGTTCCCCTGGGGCTCTACCCCCTGCTCTCCTCTGGTGGTCTTTGCGCACCAGGTTTGCATCCTGTGTGACCTGAGGTGGGCGGCAGYAGCTGCAGTGTCGGAGAAGGTGCTGCAGGGCCCCCGGGGACACGAGGGGCCGTGGGGCAGGTGAATGAAGGGGGCGGCACTGGCAATAACGGCTGGTGGTCGCAGTGCAGGTAGCGGTCTGGAGAGCGGGGCAGAGCAGCACCCTCCTCTGCCTCCCTGTCAGCCCATGGCTGCTCCTCGGGGTGCTTGGGAAGCTGAACAAACAGCTTTTTGTGCGTCTAGAAAGAGCTCTTTGGAACAAACTTACAGGAACCGCAAAGCTGCAGTGGTTGTTGTCTCTGTGCTCCTTCAAGTGYGCTTGAGGTGGTTCAATAGGAACTACAGTAAATATCTACTTTGTTGCTCTCTTCGCAACAAATATAACTTAACAAATATGATTTAACAATATAACTTTCCAAGTTATATCTAACCTGGGAACTGTTTCTTAAAAAGAAAATGCGCATTTTCAGGTTTGACAGGGGATTAAAGCTGATTTGCAATATAAAATCAGTAATTGAAAGGTRGGTTATGCATCATCTTTGAAATGCTTTTGTTCATGAATTTTCTTCATGAAATTAATGCAATGGTCATGAAAATGAGAAAAACAAAACCATTGTCAGTAACTTAATTTAAATTTCTCAGACCTGCAAAGCCGCCGTAGATGGTAGCCTAATAATATAGAAGGGCCTAATAATGCTTAAGGGACCCTTAATGGTCCCTTAGTGAGTAGCTTGTGCCTGTCTCACAAGTGTCTGGGTCTGGTTACTGAGTCAGCATGTCAAATTCGACTAATCTGATTAAGTAGGCCTGTGTGTTATGTCATAACGCAGAAAATTGTGTTATACTTACAGTGTAATGCTGTATATTCTACATTAACATGTGTGTGTTTTTGTATTTCAACCTCCTGAAATATTTTGCAATGAAGAAATGGCTTTTATCATAGAATAATGTCATAGAATAATGCTGTTTGGAAGGGACTCGGGGGAGCAGCTCGTCCAAAGCCCTGCTCCGTGTCAGGTGGAACAGGGTGCTCAGGGCCAGCTCCGGCCTGGTCTTGAGTATCTCCATGGCTGGAGACTCCATGAGCTCTTGGGCAGCCTCTGACTCATGTGAATTTCCTTCTGCTGCCGTTCCCATTTCTTTGCAGACGGTGTTAATGGACCAGGCCCGGTTTCAGGAAATACAGCTGGAGCTGGAGCAGCTCCTGCTGACGGGGACCGTGCTCCTGGTGACGTTCAGCGCGGCGGGCTCGGCGCTTGCTGGTATCCCTGGCTTTGCCGAGAAAATCAAAGCCATCGTCAAGGTGCTGCTGGCAGGAATGCACCTTCCGTGAGTACCGCGGGCGCACGGAGCGGGGCTCCCACTTGGGCCCTGGCACACGGCCAGTCTGAGCTCCGCTTTGGTGGTAGCCATGGGGCATGGAGAGGAGGTAATGCAGGCTCTGAATTAATCCAGACTGGCCCTTTCACTCCAGCTTTTTGATACAGGACTCTGTGGTTTGGCTCTGCTCTTTCCCAGGGTGTTTTCAAAGCCCTTGTTCCTGCAATTGCTCTTCGTCCATTACTCTTAATAACTAAGGCAACTCTAACTGSATAGTTTGCTTTTAAAGGTGGGAGAAACGTGAGTAAGCAGCACCCTTAGGTAACGCTGTGTCCTTCGTGCAGCTCCTTCAACACGCGGGAGGCCTTGGCCACGGTGGGCGAGAAGGTGTGCGCGGAGCTGAGCGGCTGCCTGGCGCGGCACGGCTTCGCGCCCGTGCCGCCCGGCAGCGAGGCCGCCCTCAAGGGCCAGATCCAGGCCGCGGCCAACGCCGACAACGCCATCTGCTCCCTCATGGGTGAGCCCCGGCGCCCCTGCCTCCCGCTCGGAGCCCACTGCCTCCTTGGAAAAACCCGTCCAAACTCCCGTTCCTCCTCTTCCAGATTCTCGAATCCAGAAGTTTCTGGGGAGTTACCTGGCCTCTAGCCATCAGAAGTCCCTGCCTGCGCTTCCCGGAGGATTGGGCCCTATCCAGCGAGAGCTGGAAGAGATTGCGGTCAAGTACGTTCGTCTCGTCAACTACAACAAGATGGTCTTCAGCCCTTACTACGACGCAGTCCTGGACAAAATACTGGCTAAGGAAGAAGCTCAGCACCTGCCGAAGGCTGAAGAATCCTAAAACCAGTTGGTATGCTGCCAGTACGGTACTAAATTGGTTTGCTATTTAAAAAAGTAAATGCACCAATATTTGTCTAGAAAAAACAGCTTTCCATGTAAACACTGGTTCCTTTAATTCACTAGCRGTGATTGATGAGAAACCGCATGCAGAAGCGGGTCTGAGGTGAGTGATGGAAAGGAGATGATTTTAAACACAGGTGTGCAACCCGGCGCGGGGCGAGCGCGGCTGCGGCRTTGGAGAGCCTGAGCAGGGCTAGGCAGGACAAATTGGACATCCAAATCCTGTCCTTCACTGGCTCCTTTGGGGGCTTTCTGTTTCCTAATTTACCATGAAGTTAAATGTTTAGTCCAGAGCAGGTTCGAAAGGGCCCTTCCCAGCAGAGTGATTTGGCTTTAAAAAAAAAAAAAAAAAATTAAAGACTGAGGGCGCAAGCTATGGGAAATTTTAACAGGCAAAAAAATAAAGCCAAACAGCACTTTATTGTAACATTATAGTTAGTAGGGTAGACTACAAGTGTTTTTTCTGCATTTTTAATGGCATTTTTTTGCTGTTTATCTGCAGATGTTTCAAAAAACRTAATATATTTTTGTAGCAAATTTTCTGGTTATTGAGCAACTGTCCTCTGCTATGTACAGTACTTACAGAGGTGGCAATCTTATAGATTGCAGCTGTATTTATTTCTTGTAAAGACTTCAGAAGGGCAGAGTTCAAGTGTTTTGATAAAAGTGGTTTTTTCTTTTTTTTTTTGGCTAGTAGTTTACTCCTTTTTATGCAAAATACCAACTTTAAAGTGAATCTTTGTCATTTTCAGAAGGTGGATTTACAGTGTGTGATTCCTTTGCCTGAAAAGTTTTACTTCTTTTTTAAAACTRCAACTTCAGGGGGTTGCATATCCAGTCATGTCTTCAGAAATATCCAGGAAGTGCAGAACACTCGCGGACRTGTAAGTGATTTTAAACATAGTGGGAAATTCCTGATCAGATGTTGATCTGAATGCACATGGAGTATTTTCAGTAGATGTTTTTCACTTTGTAGAGATGATCTTGAAACTTAGAATATTTTTAGACCTTGAATTTCATTAGCTACATGCTGTATCCATGAGTGTTGATAGATGATCTCAATGATGTAACAGCCTTCATACTGTATGTCAGTCATTGAAATTCCAGTGTAGTGTAGTTAATAATTGAATACTGTAACTCCAGGCTTGGTGAGGAGTCTTCCCGTCCCTGAGTGCAGCGCTGCCTGGCCRCAGTCCGGCTGCGGTGACCCTGGGAACGCGGAGCTCCTCGGCATGAACCGTGTCCCAACRGCCGGGGCTGTATCCAAAATAACATATTGCCTCTTAAAACATATATTGAAAAGTCCTTCTATGAAGATAAGTYCCAGCTACATTTTGGTGATTAACTGAAAAATCAAAATAAGGGACCTTGTARAAGGAAGTACTTGGTTATGACTCCGTGTTGATGCTTCCCTTTGAATGGCAGCCTGGCTAGAGCTGCAGCAACTTTGGGGAGGAAGGAGAGAATAAGATGAGACCTTTTCCTCCATATTAGCCTATACAACTATAAAATACATCTTCTCATTCATTACAAAACCTCCTTTGCCCAAGAAAAAGCAGTCTTGTAAGAGAGCACTGGTTCAGACAAGTGAGATTTTTGCCTTGGTAAAACAGTAAATAGTAGCAGCAAATACTAAATTGAGCATCTTGGTTTGGATCTTGGGCTTCAAGGATGTGGAGAGGAACAGCAGCACCGTCGAGGGAAGCCCATGAACAAGGTATCTGAGGCAGCAGTGAAGGGGAGTGAAGGGGTGAGACAGTTTATACTTGCCTAGCCGAGGCAGCACCTCACTCTGGTTCGGAAATTCCGCAATCCGGGKGTCCGTGAGCCCCGGCTCCTGCCTGCGGGGCGGCCGCACGGTGCTCGCGCAGCAGGGAGGGCCCAGCCCTGCGCCCAGCGAGCGCCCGAGCCGCAGGGCTCCTGCAGCCAAGCGTGCGGGTCCTGCATCCTTCTTTAACTAATTATTTTAATTAATATTTGTTAATTATTAATGCTATTGTTATTGATAAGCTTTTTTAAAAAAGGCATTAGTAAGGCCAGGCTCGCCTCTGTCTGCCACTCTTTCCACCCTTGCCCATGTGCTGTTTTACCTGCGACGGGGCAGCGCCGTCCTCCTGTGGCAGGGTCCTTGCTGCCCTGTAGTTCCTGGGGGGTGCTGTACCAAACAAATTAAACTCTAAATTATGCATAGGAAAGGCTTCAGAAGTTCATATGCCGTTTCTGTTAGCCTGTTTGAAAATAACACGTTAATGTAGCTAATATATTAACATTTAGCTTAGTACATTATTAATAGAGGACCAGTGCAGTTAGCCAGGGTGAGCAGCCGTTAACTACTCTGCCTGGACAATCCACATTAGAAATATCTATTGAAATGGTCTTMTTTTGCTGTCTTCTTGAACAAGGGTACTGTATCTTCTAGAACGCTGGAACACTGAGGAATTCTAGTACCTGCGGTCTGATCCCTTTCCTGTGATGGTTTTAATTCTTATTAACATTGCTTGTGAAGGAACTGAGTGGTATTTAGAAAATAAATATTTGAATAAAACCAGAATAAGGCATGATGTTATCGATATCCTTTTATTTTAAAGGAATGTTTTTTTCCATTTTCAACTACAAAACAGATTCCATACATTCTGCCATAAATAAAAACGAACAATAAGGCAGGACACTACATGAACAAACTGAGAACAACTGTTTTCCAGAAAGTGTGAATTAAAAATGCTTCACAATTATAAGCCATCCAGTTTTTAAAATAAAACTGTTGAAAACCCACAAGATTTCAAGTGGTCGATGTGAACATCCTTGAGGAGAGAACAAAATGCAGTTGAGGCATTTTGCACTTTTGTGTTTGAAAAATCTAATTTTGTTCAGAGCACATTTTAAGATTGTTCTCTCTGGTTTCGGTTCAAGAACAATATGGGAGAAGAGGCACCACAGTAACAAAACCATTTTCAAGATTTTTTTTCTGTTTGCAGCTGTCCCTTTTAAAGCTTGACTTTTAAGAGACAGCCAAACTCAGCCCAGTCCTTGCCGATCACAGCRGAACGGCGGCGGCGTTTCACCGGATCCGCTTTTGTTGCCGTGCTCTGTAGATGTCGTGGACGGGGGGGACGACGGAGCCTTTCTCCTCGTCGTCATCCGAGTCTTCGTTTGGTCTCTTCACGGCCTTGTTGAGCAGCGCGTTGTTCTCCACGGGCCCGTTGCCTTCCACGGCGATCTCGGGTAGGCCGCCCGTGATGATTCTCACCGCTTCATCAACAGCTGCAGGGCAAGAAAGGCAGCAGCTTAGCTCAGGAAACTAGATCCCCGCAGCAGAAAGGTGTGAGAGCAAAGCGGAACAGAAATTCTGGAATAAGGAAAAAATTAAGAAAAACCCCAGAGCCTTTGCCCAGGGCCACTGTGACGCCTGCGGAGGGGAGCGCTCTGCAACACAAGGTGTCTTGCTACCTTAAATTAGGAGGAAAAAAATAAATTTAAACTCCCTCAGACTCTTAGCTATAGCAAACACTAATGCTAATGTAAACGCTGCTGCTTCAAGTTGAGACCCCCTCTGTACAGAAGAAGTGAGGTCAGTTAGAAGCTTAACAAAAGCAGGAAGCTGCAGGCACCTCTGCACGTGTCCCTCACCCACCAGGAAGATGTCCAGCAAGGCTGCTGCTGCGTAGGAACAGAGGCCCTGGCAACGAAAAGTGCTCATTTCCCCTCTAAACAAAACCAAATCCTCGCTGTGACTCTTTAACGGCGAGGATGAGGAGGTGCAGATTAATCAGCTGCGATAAGGATCTGTCCTCTGTGTAGATTTCAGAAAATTACCTTTTTCTTGTAGCACTTGAAGACACCACAGCTCTGGAAGTGTTATCAAACACTAACAAGTCTGCATGTAGTGATGGACTTCCCTAGTGCAAATTTGTAATTAAGGAGTTTGGAAAATCGTTCCTGTAACATTTATCACAGAAGGTGCATTATAAGGCACCAAGCAGTGGGTGGTAATTCTGAGCTTTTATTTTTATTTTTATTTTTATTTTTATTTTTATTGCTACGATGAAATGTGCAAATGTCTCTAGGTCGACTCCAACCTAAAAACAGAGGCCACTTCAATAGCACACACGATAAATAATAATTACACATCTGCACCTATAAATGAGGTCTATACTTCAGACTGAACTGTACATATAAAAACATACATATATATATACACGGCACTGCCCGAGACTCTTAGAGCAAAGAAATGACTCACTTTCTGGCAATTTGCATCTTCGGAATATCTCCATGAGCTCATCCACCTGGACAAAGGGACCCTGATGCAGAACGAAAGGTTACAAGGTTAAGACTATTCTGTGCCGCTCTCGCAACAGACTCGCTTCTGAAGCTGCCCCGAGTCAGTCCAACGCACCTGAAAGCACACGGGCGGGGGCAGGAGCTTCATGAGCACCACAGCTGCTGGCGGAACGGGAAAAACCCCCCCGGGCACRGGATGCAGACCTGGAGCTGCGGGAGAGAAGGGCGTGAGGCCAGAGCTCCAGCCGGCGCCTCGCGCGGCGCCGCTCCCGTCACGTCGGCCTCGGCTGCCTGTGGAAGCCCCAGGCCGAGCTCTGGCTGCCGAGAGCCAGGCCCAGCTACGTCTTCATACGGCCCTGGTTTAAACCAAGCACCCGCGCCGCCGGCRAGGCACCCAACCAGGCGCCTAGAACCAGGCAGGTGCCGAGAGCTCTGATGATTAGGAAGTCTCTGACYAAGCACAGGGCAGTTGCGGGGCAGGAAGAGCGCAGTGACCACCAGCCACTCTGGCCTGAACACCTGACTTACGTGCTAAGTGTCTTGGCTGAAACGGAATCATCTGCTGAGTGTCRGGCTTGGGGTATTCAGGCTTTCTGTCTACTTCGTCCTTGAGAACGGGCACGATGGACGGCGCAACCACGGGGTCCGGGATGATGGCGGCCAGCTTGGCGCGGGAGACGTCCTGCAGGGGCCAAGCAGAGCGCGCTGAGCCCGGGCCCCGCTTAACCCGTGGGACAGAGCCTAGCAAAGCCTGCTCAGCCTGCTCCCAGCCTGCTCGCTGCATCGCGCATGGCCTCTTGCAGCACCAGCTGGGCAAGGTCTGTGCATCTTTGACAAACATTTTAGTCTCACAGAGGCCCCGCTGGAGATGGAAACACTTGGTGCAGACGGGCCCCTGTTGATCAGTTTTGAATTGTACTTTTTTCCCTCCCTTTCCCTATGTGAACGGGTGCAGCCCGCTCAGCCTTCACAGCTACCATTTTTCAAGAGCTGCAGCATGAGGAAAGCAGCAGGCACAGGAAACACGAGGCAGCAGGGACGGGCCCCAGGCCGAGGTGCCCCCCCACACGTTAATAAGGGGCCCTTCCATCTTGCAGGCACCAGCCTCAGCTCAGAAACACTTTYTTCCTAATTGAGTTCTAAGAAAAATACTGAAATACACCTTCTAAGAAAAATACTGAACGGCTTCACATCGATGATGTTCCCACCCATCAGATCAACACAGAGAGGCTTTTCTCCTGCCCTCTTTTTTCCAGAGCTGTGTGATTCCCACACRGATAGCTCGGGGAAGCTGCCATGCAACGTGCTGGCCCTGCGATTTCACCCGGCTCTGGCCCAGCAGGTTCCAGCTGGACATTATGGCCAGAGATGAAAAGGAGTTAAACAGCAGCCGCAGCCTGGTTTTGCCTTCCCTGCAGTACGGAATCAAAAAGCAGTCAAAGCTTCTAGAGACAACAACACAAGAAGCAGCCAACCTGGCCTCCTTACCTCCTTTTCCATCAAGGAAAATAAAAATATAAGGCACGTGCTAAATGAAGAATTTGCATAAACTTACTAGGAATAATAATAATAATAGTAGTAAAACTATCTACTTACCTTATAGCCAAGGGCCTTAAGTTCGCTTGCAGAGCAAGGGTACAGATCCATGAACTTGTACCTGTCCACCAGCAGGGCCGTTTCTTTCCCCTCATACTCCTCCTTGAAYGCCGTGAACCGCCGTTTCTCCACCTTGAGAATGCTGGCCAGATCCCCAATGTTGCTTTCGAAAGCCAGAAACCGAGCCCAGATTTCTCTGCGGGAGAGCAGAGGCAGGACAGGGGCTTAGGGACACAGCAGCACTGACCGCAGCCCAGCTCCAAAACCGTGAGAGGCTCCAAGSTGCCACCCTCCACGGAACACGTTGCCATCTCTGCTATTTATCTTAGATGCACCTATTGCCCTCACAGTGCCTTAAATATTCCTGTAAAATTTCTCAATCTAGGGGATCGTAAAGGACTTTAAAGCTCATCTCTGCACTAGGCCTTGTTATGGAGAGGAAAGGATTACTGGAGTGAGTGACTTGGGAGCATTTGAAGTAAGTTTTTAGCACCAACGTAAGAGGCATTGGGGGTCTTTACACATCCCACTACACAACACATACATGCTTAGGCAGTACTTGAGAATTTTACATAGCCTAAAATGTATATAATGACATAACAGCAAATTATTGCTTATTTCTTTATGGGAAAATCTCAAATACAGTATAGGCAACATCTGACCACATTCCTGGACCTGAATCAACTCTCTTTTTAAGCTTTGGAGGTCACTTTTGCAGAAGATTCTGCATCTAAACCCTTTTGACTTGCTCCACGGGGGCACAGGTGTTTCTCAAAAGCAGACAACCCCATAGGATGAGGGTACACAGCAACACGCTCGAGTTCTCCGGTTTGCTGCCTATGTCAACAGAGAACAACACTTAATAGCTTCTAACCTGAGGTGCACATGATTCCACAATCATATTCAGAGAAATACTTTTCTACAATAACAATGAAAATGTGCCGCTGAGCGGTTATTTTCAGGCATTCTCTTGTTCTTTCGCTACTTATTCACAGTTGCCTGCAAGCTCCTCAGTGCTCTCCTCCCCCGGTTCCCGATCCCCTTCCCACGCAGCGGCCCCCGGGAAGGGGCAGGTTCCCTCGGTCCCGCACGGTGCCYGTCCTGCCAGCCCCACAGCGGCCTGCCCGGCCCTGCCCCACTCCTGCTGCACGGGCCGGGCTCGGGGGCAGGACCCGTGCGGGACGTTGGCTTTGGGCATGACCGGGGCGTTACGTTTAGTGCAGACGTACCCGGATTTCTCAGGCGGGAGGCTCCCTGAAGTTAAAACACGTTCAAACAAAACTCTTGTATTATTGTCCTCTTAAAAACAGAAAGAAAGAAGAAAAATCATACTGTGTACAGTATGTTAAAGACAATTTAAAAACATTTCCATTCAAAGAGATGTATACACCAAATTAAATAAGAGGGCTTGCGATACCTGATACCTGCTTGTGAAGTTCAATACACAGGAAAATACTGGAACACCTACAGGAAGCTTTACCAAAGCAACATAAATTTTTTTTTTTTTTTTCAATTTTATTACTTGAAAGTCTCTTGTAACAAGCCAGTTTCTTTTAACAGCACAGCTACTGGTCAGCCTCACCTAATCTTTCTCAGGCTTTTTATTTAGTTAATTCCCTTGGGATGCCCATCTGCCCGTGTGCCCCGGGCAGGGGCTGTTTGCACCAACTACCCGGCTTTAGGAGGCGGTTCCACCACCCTCAGCACAGAGCTGGGCTGGAGCCGGGCCCGCAGCGAGGGCCGGCGTGGGTCCCACCAGCCCTCTCGGCGCTTAGACCCCGCTTACCGTTGAGGTGAGACAGGTAGTCGATGTAGGCCAGCACATACTCTGGAATGTCCCCGTATTTCTTCAGCCCGAGCTCAAAAATCTTGAAGGCCACAGACTTATCCTGCAATCATCAAAGGGAGAAAAGCCCTTGTGTGCAGAGCTCGGCTGTCTCTGGCGGGTCCTTGGGACGGCACCGGGATTCAACGTTTACCTTACTGCAGTARTACTCCATCAAGGCCGCGGTCACGTAGACGTGGTGGCGGGTCCGGGCGTCCTCCCGGGCTTTCTTGAATATCATTCGCCCGGACTTGATGCCCTCTGCTCGCCTGGCAAACTTCATGTACTGGATATAAACCTAGGGTGCAGGTTAGTACTCGGGTAACAGCCACTGCTAAGAGCCACAGCACGCGCTAAGCCTCAGGCTGCATCTGCCGTCATCTCCACTCACCCAACGGCAACCAGCAAACCTGCCTCTGGCCTCCGGGCTGCCAGCCTAGAGGTACTAACACAAAGCTCTTCATATATACACACACACTTCTTTAAAAGGCAGAAAATACCCAAGGCTGAGTCACTAAAATGACAATAATAATGYGTTTTGAGGATAGGGGAAGTAAGCAGATGAATGTAGTGTGGATGAAYATAGTTAACATGCTCTGGTACCTGCACAGAATTAGAGGTCACTTGCTTGTACTAAAAGTGTGAACCTTCCAATTAAACTAAAGACATCTTTAAGACTGAAAAAAAGGTGAAAAGCCCCTTTCAGCATTGTTAGGTATATTCTAGAATCCGTGATACAAATCATGCTGCTTTAAATGTTTATACCTGATGAAGAAAATAATGAGGGTGCTGATTTAACTCATCAGCCAGATTRTGATTTGCATTTTTGGGGTATTTATTTTTCCTCCACTCTGAATTAAGATCCCAAACAGCCATGCTCCTTCAGAAGGGGGAAAGCATTATGTATAACATATGTATATGTTATACATATGTCTATGTATAACAAATACAGCATGTCAATAAAAAGCTATTTTTCCTCAGACACCGATCTATTATTTAATTTTAGATCTCAGACCTTCTCTTTCTCATGCTCTGTGCTATTTTTTTTTTTTTTTTTTTTTTTTTTTGTAAGCTGACTGACTTTCTGGGGACAGGTTATACTTCCAGCATTTGCTCAGTTCACAGCTGGTGGTAGAAACAATATTGTTTACTTAAAGCTTAGGCCAATGCACTGCAGTACACTTTGATATTTATGTGGTACACATGGAATTTCTTCACAAGCTCCCTATGAACTATGGACATTGCTCTGTAGGGAGGACAGTGGGAGAAATCAACGTGCTTTTCCTAAGTTAAGGTGAGGGAAAGTGAAATTTTAGTCGAGCCAACAAAACATACACCAGCGCTTAGGAGCTGCTTCAGGAAATCTTTAGGATCTTCACTTAATATCTTCAYGGTTTAAGAGATTCTCCAGCAGACACACTGGGGAGAAGTGCACAACGTGTCCAAGTGGATTAAAGGCCATAATCACCACCCCCACTTAACTTTTCATGCAATTCCCTCGCCGCAGTGCTCGGCCTGCTAGCGAGCTGCTGCATTTCCCCTGCTCCCGAGCTGCGCTCACGGGAGGCGCGCAGCGCGGCGCCTCCTCTTACCAGAGTGGGATCGATGTCTTCTATGGCCAAGAGCCTGTTGTAGATGCTGTGCACCTTCTCATACTTCATCCGACTCTAAGAAAATGAAAAGGAGAGAGACAGCTTTGTAACACAGGCGAATTACAGAACTTTAATACTCATGATTTGTGAATTAATCTGACTCTTGCAAATCACTCGTGAGTGCAAAAAGCCAAACTGCAGAAAAATGCTACAAATTCTTGTTTACTTTTCCCCTCAGTTGGACACTATACAGTCTTTACTTACTCAGATGCCTAACTTTGTCTTGTGCCGTCGTTTCTTTACTTTCCACATACTTTTCTTAGTAGTGTTTTCATATGTGCCTTTCAAGAACCTCTGAAATCTTTTGTTAATTCAGTAAAACTGAAGGCGCCACATGCAGAAACAAGCAGCAGTGGGGCTCTGCTCAGCCCTGGCACTGCAGAACCAGGTAGGATAAACAACTTCCCTCAGAGCCAGGGGAATATAAATACCAAAACACCAGGATTAGATAGGAAAGGTGCTCTTTATCCCATTTCAAAAGTGCAGAAGCCGATACCCTAGTAAATGCAAGTCTACAGGTCTTTAATTTCATAGCTATTTGAAAAATAAAGTCAATACCCAGTGAAAGACTTGACAGATTTTCAAGAATATTGTAGCACTRTGGCCTTTCCCTCCACCTTTGTRTTAGTTCAGCCTCAGAAACACTGAGCAAGGCTAAGGCTAGAAGAACCAGCAAGTTAATTCTGCAAAAGGTCTGTATACATGCTGTATGTTTCCAAACAATAACATTTACATATAGATATATATATATATATTTTGGTTATAACTTCAGTATGTGACTATTTTTGCTCACCTCCTCATAATCTGCATATGCAAAATAAAGAAGCATATTCTTCTTTAATAAAGTGCTGATCGCTCTTTCATAAATATTAGCAGCCTCGTCACTGAAAAGTTTAGCATTGTTCATGTCCTGTTATAAAACAAACATATTATCATGTRGGAGCTGTGACAATGAAACCAGCCTCTGGATGTTTGCCATCCACGAGAAGTCACAATGAAGTTCAGTGAAATATTCCGGGCAACGGACACGCATCTCCCCAGCGTCTGAGCAATCATGAAGGCAGCCCCTGACCCCCAGCCTCCCCCCSCAAATCTAAGCCTAAAACTAACAAAGACTAAATCATTCTTGGGTCACATGCAAAGATTTTTATTTCTCAAAAGAGAATGAAACTTAAAATTCTGAACATGGCAATTTAAGAGACTAAAAATCTTTTCTCCTCCTTGGTTCTTAAATATATATATCGGGGGGGGGGGGGTATATTTTTAAGGAAAAAATAACAGCAATATACTGCCTCCAAATAATGAAATAAGAAAAAGCAAAGTTTTCTGGCAATGTTCTTACCCCCTTTTCTGCTAGCAGCTTACTGGATTGCTCAAGATACTGTGCAGCTTCATACCAGATATCTGGGTGATGTCCCAGCACCAGAAGGCATTGCTCGTATGCAAACATCACTAGAGGGAAGCACAGAAAGAAAGGCTTGCACGTTACTGCAGAAGGAGGTCTGCAGCGTACAACGGAAGAAGGAAACAGCAAATAATTTAGATGCTGTTAATGCTAACAGACTCCAAGAGGAAGAATCACACCTTGCAATTCTAACCAGCAGTTAAAGTCCACAACACTCAAGAAAGGGAGGAAAGGAAGCAGGGTTGCGGACAGCACTAAACACGGGATCACTCCCGCGGAGGCCATGGGCAGAGCCGGGAAATCCCATTCCCTGCCTCCCATTACCTCTCTTGGTTATGAGCGTCTGGTCTTCGGTGCGCAGCGGGTTGCTCTTCTCCCACTGGATGTACTTCTTCCACATGTCCACCTGCTGGGCCTCCTGCGGCGTGTTCTGAGGCGGGACGGAGGGGGCGTTGCGGTCCAGGCCCTTCATGACGGTCTCGTACTCCTGCAGCACAGCAAGCCCTGTTGGCAACGCGCACGGACASGCGCGGACCCCTTATTTCAGCTTACGCGTTATAAAAACAGGGAAACGTCCCAGCACACCACGCTCACCACACTAGTACTTCTATGTCTAAAATAAGAAGCGAATTCAGTGCCACGCTGTGGAATGAAGGAGAAGAAAGAAGTCAAACGAGCTCCGTACCTTTGCAACGCGCCGCGCATTCATGTAATCCCTACTCCTGTCTTCAATCATCTTCTTAGCTAAATGAATATTGATTCCCTGGAAAATGGGCAAAAAAAAGAATCAGAAATGTGCAATTTCACTTTGGAACTACTAGATCTTATTTCATACAGAAAAGGGCATGAATGGGAATGCAGAAGTGAAAAAAAGGGGGAAAAAAATCAAAATTATTTAAATGCACTGAACTCACAAGGTTCTGTATTTCACATAGTAAACATATCCCAGATGGCCAGGGACTTACTCATGATGGAGCAGACTCTCTCCTAAAACGCAGCTCACCCGAAGCACCCCGAGGTACTTTTCCCTTGCAGGTTACGGCTCTCAAGGCCCCGTGAGCGCCGAGAGCAGCRCAGGCCGCGCCAGGGCCTCGTTGCAAACTCCTCTTTCTCTCTGTAAACCCTGGGCAGCGCCCAGGCCTCACCTGGGAAATGGCACCTCCAGAGGCTCCTCCGACCGGGAGATAGGACAGAGCCGGGAGCCACAGCTCGGCCTCCCTCCCATCCCTCTCCATGCCGAAGGAGCGCAGAGCTTTGAAGCCGCTGCAGGCCCTGCCACCAAGGGCCTTGGTCGGCTGCGAGGGGCCGAGGGCGCCCGCGCTGCAGCACCCGACACGTCTGCGCTCGGCTCCGAGGTGCAACCCCAACGGAGCCCGGAGCGGGACACCCAGGGAAGCCCCCACGGGAGCAGGGAACGTGACTTCCTGAGGGCCGGYGTTCCCAGGCCCTCCAGGAGCGGGAGGGAGCAGGTGGAAGGGCGAGCGCTCCCAGCAGTGGGCAGCGCTCGGAGCCGCGGGATCGCTGGGGCAGCCGCTCGGCAGCGGCCGCTCAGCCCCGATGCTCCTTCTCGYGGGAGGCTCCGGGAGCTGGACGCGGCCGTTCCCGGCCTTGCCCATTCCTGCAGGCAAAGGCGCCTTCCGGAGCCTGGCACTGCTGCCGGAGCCGAGGGGAGCTGYGAGGGGAGCTGTGGGCGCCCTCCCTTGCCGAGGGGCTGCGCCCCCCGCTGCTTCCCAGCGCCGCCCGGGAAGCGCCGCTTCCCTGCAAGCCGGGACGGGATTGCTGGTGCCGGGCAGTCCCTCCCGCGCCCGCGCTTCCCGCGCTCRGCAGCGGCTGCCCCTTCTCAACACGCCCCATCACAGGGCATTTTGCTTTCCTTAACATAAATCAACAGATACAAATCACAAGTATCAGGTGCTTCATTACCTCTTCATATTTGTTATAATCTCTCCAGAGCTGCTCTATGTTAATCATTGGATTGACGCAACCACGCTGGTAAACCCTACGGACAGCTGTTATCCTCTGGTTCTCGGCATAGGATCCTACTGCTTCTCTAGAGAGCGGGGAGAGAGATTCATGTCAGCCACTACAGGTCACACCCTTGGGGAGCACAAACATTGCCTTAATCAAGCTGAAAAAATTATTTCGAGGTACTTACACGCCCTTCAAAAAATTGATGTAATCCACCCAGATCTAAGCAAGAAAAAACATCACATATCAGCAAATCAGGATTTAGTTGTACTTTTTAGAATCTAAGTTAGAAATAAAAGGTGCTTCAATGGAGAAACAACAATAAAAAAAAAGCCCCTACCTGGTATGACATGATTTCCATGCCAATTTTATCCAGAGCAAAATCGTATGCCTGAGCCATTTTTTCTCTGAGGAAAAAGCACAAACCACAAAGACCATAGCACACATCTCCAGGATTTAAGGAAGTCTTTATTTAAGAATATTCTTTAGAGCAGCAAATTCTAACCAAGTAGTTAAGTATAAAAATTTAACGTAACAACAGAGTGAGCAGAAATGTGACTTGAGATTTTATCTGTGGCCATTTCCCAGGCAGCAGCTCCGAGCCCCCTGCCCTCGGCACGGGAATTCCGCGTATCCCACCCGGCTGAGCTGAGCTGAGGAGACAGAAGCAGCTGCTCCCAAAGAGGCTGCGAGGAGAGGAGCCCCCCAAGCCATGGGGGCACTGACGGGCAGCGCCAATTCCCAGCCCCCCAAATTCCAAGCCATTCCTCCAAACTGGAGGAGGAAGTGGACCTGGCAAGCTCGGTTAAAGCAGCTGCTGCCAGAGCACCCGGGCACTTCTAACAAAACAGACATCCACAGAAACACAGCGGGCCTGTATAAAATACTCCCAACACACACAGGTTTCACTGCAGGACTCCCACCAGGTTTTGCAGAGATGCCCTCCCCACAACCCCCCCAAAAAAAAAAACAGGAAGAAAAGGAAAGAATTTAGCAGAAAAACATSAGCGCGACCATATTAACTTACTTGTAACTAGGCAGCTTCCCCTTGGTTTCTCGCACATAGGACAGGTAACACTTCCACAAATCAATGTGCAAAACCTTCATAAGGCAGCGCTGAAACAACTGTTTAACRCACCGAGAGGAGGAGATGAGGAGCCGAGGCAGGGACAGGAGCCTCCGCCCCTGGCGCGGCACCGTGCGAGCGACCGCCACCTCGGCGAGCGCGAGCCGCCTTCCCGGCGGGAAGGAGCAAACCCGGGAAGCTCCTCCGAGCGGGGCCGCTTCCCGACGCGCGCAAGGGGACGGGAATGGGGACGGGGACAGGYGGCTCCTCGGCCGCCGTGGGGCTCAGGCCCCACACCCGGGCTGCCCCAGTGAACCCCAAGGTGCTGCTCGTGGCTGTACGGGGGCAGGACATGTGCTGGAGGCTGAACTCACCTTCTCCACTTTGTCATAATTTTTTGCTTTAATCTACAGGGAAGCAGAAAAGAACAAATGACTTAGGAAGCTATTTAGTAAAGCATAACAACAAAAATAATAAAGCATTCTAGCTTGCACTTCAGCTGACTAAACTAATTAATCTTAACATCACATAACGCTGCTAAAACACCACTAAGAACACAAAACCCATGTCTTTTCCYTAGCTTTTCAAAGGAGGCCTACATTAAAATTTTTCATTTCCAATACAGCTAGAATTCAGACATCATTAGGTAACATTGCTTCCCTACATACCTGGTTTGGATAGTTAGCCTCTTATTTTAAGGAATTTTGTTGCCTTTAGTGCATATATTGACCTAAGTACTGAAGTGTGCACATCAGGAATTAGTAAATTTAGGGTAAAAAGCAGAATTTATCAGGTTACCACACCTGCTTTGTATTCGAGCCATTACTTAGGAATTGCTGAAGGCAAACGCTGCTCTCCCACGCTGACCCTGTCAAGGGGAGCACCAAGGATCTGGTCATCAACACGCGCCCCCTTCCACGCAGGTGCCCCCACAGCCACGGGACACCCACAAGTCACCCTGACACCGTGGTGCTCGGCCCCCTTCGGAGCCCGGGGAGAATCCAAGGGCATCCACGGGAGAAGGCGCAGGGAAGGGGCCTGCGCTCGCCCGGGACACGCAGCGCGGCGCGCGCAGATGCCCGGGGCTCCCCACGCGCGCTAGCTCGGGTCGCGCTGACGCACGGGGCTCCGCGGCGCCGCTGCCCGAAGCAGCGAGGAGAAGCCACGAAACCCTCTCGGAGGCACTAGATAAAGCAAAGCCACCTGAAAAAGCATCGTTCTGCTTGTCAACAGCGGAATTCCCTCGGTCTGGGGGCTCTTGGCCATTCAAGGGGCCTCCCTGGGGATGATTTCCATCCTCCCACAGCTTTCCACGTTCCATAGCAGCCTAAACCTTCAAGGAGCGTTTATCACGGTATGGTTGCTGGGACAGAAGTCTCTCGCTGAGGCAGCACTGGCACCATCGAAAGACCGAGCACAAGAAACACTTGTCCACCAGACTGCAGACACTCGCAGTGAACCTGGACTTGGAAATTCAAGCATTCTGCCAGAAAAATAACYGCTATCATTTACCTGCCTGTGTTTTGCCTAAAAGAGCAACACACTTTCCACACACCTTATCAGAAAGGCTGCTGTTCACACGGGGAATTCAATTCAGGGCTACTTATTATTCAAACATTCTCAGTTGTAAACCCAACAGTCTGCTATCCTGAAAATGCAACCTGCTGGTGAAACTGGCTGCAGGGGCAGGGAACTCCTCCCGCGGGAGATGCCTGGTGCTTTTGGGCTCCCCAGAACCCTCTCTTGGCCGCACCGGGGCCGGGGACAGCCGCATCCACCGCCTTCTCCTACTGTCACAGGGCCGGGTGACGGATCCGCACGGATCCTGCACTTTGGACAAGCGCTGCCCCACGTCCACCTCCTGCAGGGTGCTGCTAAAACCACCGACTGCCTCCTGAACCCCCCGTTTCTTGTGAGCAACCCCCCAAAGCAACCGCAAGGCTGCAGGAGGCCCTGCTCCATTTAGCACTGCCAGGATCCAGCCGCAGCAACCGCGAGCGCGAGGGCTAAAGCCACGACCTTCCTTATGAAGACAATTACACACAACTACGCATCATTTCTAACGAAGAACGTTGTTGCGGGCAGCAACAGGAGGATCAGCAGATGCAGTTCTCCTGCAGTTTTSAGGAGGAGCAAGTCCCAGAGGTTTGATAGTCCTGGTGCAAGCTTGTATTTTACCAGCTTTGATTTAGCTATAGAGAAAGGCTGCAGGGAAGAGCCGCAGAAGGGAGAGACAGGAAAGCAGACCTCTCCCAGCGCAGTGAGATGATATTCCAAGTATCTAAGGCAATCGGCACCTAGAGGTCAGGTCACTCTTCAGAGCCCATTCTGCAGCCCCTGGAAAAGTCTCCGTACACATTCACAGGCATTTCCTGATAAACAAAACAGCGGCCTACCTTGTACACTGATGTGTATCTGTATTTATACTTTGGATATGGTCACGGGGTTTAAAGACACCCACCAGGCAGTAAATAAGCATTAAGGGAGAGCCCCCGTGACTCTGTAACTCCAGTTACCAGCTGGCCGCTTGGTCCTACAGCGGGGCACCTTGCTCATATCGACACCTCTAAGAGGCAGCAGAGCTTTGAGGCTCCTCAGTCAGGCACTAACCAGACTCGGTGTGTGCTATACAGAGAAACAATATTTAATTGGAAGACTTCAAAAACATTGCGTGGTGACAACAAAATTCTCCAGCCTATTTCCCCTTCCTTTCCATCTCTTCCATTCTACTAGCACCTCTCCACCTCTGCCTGTGTGTACRGTTTTGTCCTTCCCAGAACACTTCTCTTTCCTGCTGCCAAACCTGAACATACTTTAACAAAAAACACTTCAAGAAACGGCCATTTTCATTCTGGAAAAAACTATTCTACGTTACTTTTAAGAGGACAACAGCTGCACCCGTTCCCTGGCYGAAGGCATTTAGAACTGCAGGGAAGCTGAAGGAGGAAGGAGGGCTCCTGCATCTCAATTTCCTTTAGCACTCCCTCCAACCAAGTCCTGAATCTTTGCTATATGGGTAAAATTCATATATCCTAATAAAGAAGCACTGCGAGTGTTCTTTATTCACTAAAGACCTCACTGGAGACATTTAGTACCCATTTAGTATTTTCCGCAACAACATCTAATTCTGGCTGCCRATTGGCAAATACAAGCAGCTTACTCCAAGGCCTTGTTTTTTTCCAAATACAGGGAGAAAATCCAGTGTTCTTTGGTTCTTCTGTCTACAATTTATTGCACATTTTGTATATATGGTGAATTCCAACCCATACCCATTCCTTTGCCAAACCACAGAATCARTATTTTTTTTGTTCAGGTGACCTGCACATTAATTATATTAACTATATGGAGCAATTACTTACAAATGCATCCGTCTCATTTCCACTCCTCTTTATAGAGGGATTTACCTCATGCTCAGACCTCAGTTTGTCTGACCATCTTAATCAAGGCTCAAAGCCCGCTCTGCCGCTGCCATCTACTCTTATTTCATGCTGACTTCAAGGCACCTCAAGGAAACAGCGCAAAGCGCAACACGTTGACACTCCTGCAAGCCACCTAGAGCCTCCTCCCTGCTGCGAGCACTTCTGTTCCATCTACTTCAGTTCACTCCTGCTTCTCACACCCAAGAAATGCAGGACCCCATCACCTGGCCTGTCTCCTCGGGCTAGATCCTCATGTTTTAAGCCCAGCCCAACCACGTAGCGTAAGCGAAGGCGCCAAGGCCAGCGCAACGGAGATGGACGTATCAAGCACTGTGTAGGAGCAAGTGTTTCATTCTGCAGCTTGCACTTTAATGCTGTTACCTTAGCCCCACTCTAAAATAATCTAGTTGTTTTTGACTGCTAGGAGAAATTAGTGCTTACAAGAATTACATACAACTCATGTAAACATTTACTCTTCCACTGATTTTCATATCCTCAAGATACCTTGGGGATAGTAAGACAACATTTATAAGAAGGTGGTTATCTTCTATGAGGTTAGTGGATGTAAATGAAGAAAACACTTTTGCAAGAATTAAGTTCCCTACTAAGTATGTCACCTATCCTTACAGTTTCATGATTGCACTACATCCTTGGCAACACTTTTGGAACACTCTTTTCAAATATGCTTGCACAAAAGAAAAGCGCAGAAAAAAGGAGGGGCTTTACAACTATCGCCCAAGGTTTCATATTGTGATTTATGCTATYTCAGAAATAGAATGATTTTATCAAATAACTATAATTTGGAGATTTAAGGTGCTCTCCACTCATGTGTTAAGATCATAGGGTCGCAATACACCAGAACAAACGGAATCATCCATTAAAAACAGAAACACAAACACTGAGTCTAGAAAGCAGTAAAGCTCCTTTACACTGCCTGGACTTTCTATTTGTATACTGAGTTAGTAAAAAAGAGGCAACAGTCCAAATCAACAAAGCCGTTCTAAATGAGGATTTAGGGCTAGCCAGAGAACCACTATCCCATGAAAGTGGTCAAACCCATCCACGCACCATGCACGAATAGCCCTTGTTTCCCAGCGTAGAAGTCCTCTAACCAGCAGGGGCTGTGGTTGCTGTTGATGCTGCTGCAAGGTGTCACTGCATGGGAGAGCCAACCTCCTCAGGAGTGACAAATGACCAAGCTGCCACGACGAGCTCCGGCCTGGCAGCAGCGGAGCTCCCTCTTGCCCTGTCAGCTCCTCAGCTTACATGTAAACCGTGGCGCTGGAGAAAAGGGGCACGAGGAGGCAGGGAGACAGCAGAAACGCAGCCACGGGCCTCCTCTTCAACGTATCATGGGAGGAGAGGCAACAGTGGTAGCGGCTCTTAAACCACCCGATGAGCCCCAGTCCTCCAAAGCTGTCCGAGAGCCCCGATGGTTAATCGTGGCAGAGAGCTGCCRCATCACAAGAAATTCACCATCAGAAATCCACAAGTTGGTGGAAAATAATGCTGGTGCACCTGTAATTCTGTGCAGCTTTTCACAGCACAACATTTACCTCCTGGGCTTGCAGCTGGGCGCACGAGCCTGCACTACAGCATGGTGTGAAATGAAGAAGCAAACCACGTGCACTTGAGGTGCAAGGCTGGGAGAGTCACCCCGCAAGGAAGGGAGGCGAGCGCAGAGCCCGCTTCTGCCAAGGATTTCCTAAGAAATCACCATCGAGTATTCACCTTGTCTGGCATTTACTGAATTCGGAAAACTACCTGCTGCAAAYGCAAGACTAATCTAATGACTATTTTTCTGCAGAGTAATCAGTGAATTTATCAGCCGGTCTAACATAAAGAGTGGCCTTGGACAAAACCCTTCCTATGCCTTCTAGAAACCAAGAAATGTCACTAAATTCCCTTCTGAGAACACRTATTAATCAACTCATCCAAAGCCTCACCTATGGTGCTAAAAAGGGAAAGGTCATATATAAAATGTCAAC